GTTGATATCACGCCAGACCTGTCCCCTGAAGCTCATATCAAGAGGATAACATCAGCAGCATATGCCAGGTTGGCTAACATAAGAACGGCCTTTAGAAACTTGTGTAAGGAATCTTTCAGAACATTATATACCACATATGTCAGACCAATCCTGGAGTATGCGGCTCCAGCATGGAGTCCATATCTAGTCAAGCATAAGACTAAACTGGAAAAGGTTCAAAGGTTTGCCACCAGACTAGTACCCGAGCTGAGAGGTATGAGCTACGAGGAGAGACTACGGGAATTGAACCTCACTTCGTTGGAAGACAGAAGAGTTAGGGGGGACATGATCACCACATTCAAGATTCTCAAGGGAATCGACAGGGTTGATAAAGATAGGCTATTTAACACAAGGGGCACACGCACTAGGGGACACAGGTGGAAACTGAGTGCCCAAATGAGCCACAGAGATATTAGAAAGAACTTTTTTAGTGTGAGAGTGGTTGACAAATGGAATGCATTAGGAAGCAATGTGGTGGAGGCTGACTCCATACACAGTTTCAAGTGTAGATATGATAGAGCCCAATAGGCTCAGGAACCTGTACACCTGTTGATTGACGGTTGAGAGGCGGGACCAAAGAGCCAGAGCTCAACCCCCGCAAGCACAACTAGGTGAGTACAACTAGGTGAGTACACACCACCACAGTCTGCCACACACACACCACCACAGTCTGCCCCACACACACCACCACAGTCTGCCACACACACACACACACACCACCAGTCTGCCACACACACACACACACACCACCAGTCTGCCACACACACACACCACCAGTCTGCCACACACACACACACACACACACCACCAGTCTGCCACACACACACACACACACCACCACCCAGTCTGCCACACACACACACACACACACACCACCAGTCTGCCACACACACACACACACACCACCAGTCTGCCACACACACACACACACACCACCAGTCTGCCACACACACACCACCACAGTCTGCCACACACACACCACCACAGTCTGCCACACACACACTCACACCACCACAGTCTGCCACACACACACCACCACAGTCTGCCACATACACCACCACAGTCTGCCACACACACACCACCACAGTCTGCCACACACACACCACCACAGTCTGCCACACACACACCACCACAGTCTGCCACACACACACCACCACAGTCTGCCACACACACACCACCACAGTCTGCCACACACACACCACCACAGTCTGCCACACACACACCACCACAGTCTGCCACACACACACCACCACAGTCTGCCACACACACACCACCACAGTCTGCCACACACACACCACCACAGTCTGCCACACACACACACCACCCCAGTCTGCCACATACACACACACACCACCCCAGTCTGCCACACACACACACACACCACCACAGTCTGCCACACACACACCACCACAGTCTGCCACACACACACCACCACAGTCTGCCACACACACACCACCACAGTCTGCCACACACACACCACCACAGTCTGCCACACACACACCACCACAGTCTGCCACACACACACCACCACAGTCTGCCACACACACACCACCACAGTCTGCCACACACACACCACCAGTCTGCCACATACACACACACCACCCCAGTCTGCCACACACACACACACACCACCACAGTCTGCCACACACAACCACCACCACAGTCTGCCACACACACACCACCACAGTCTGCCACACACACGTGAACCACCAAGAGAGACACGGGGGCGGGGGGGGGGGATACTACAGACCAACACCGCGCCAGCACAACACCAATGGATGACCAGAGCAAGAATGGCCATCACTGTAGGCGGGATGTCTGTCACAACAACCTGAATGATCACTAACCAACCCAGCTGCATGTCTGGCTCTTCCCGGTCTCTCTCCACAACAGGTGGGAGAGTGGGAGGCAGCAGGTGGGAGAGTGGGAGGCAGCAGGTGGGAGAGTGGGAGGCAGCAGGTGGGAGAGTGGGAGGCAGCAGGTGGGAGAGTGGGAGGCAGCAGGTGGGAGAGTGGGAGGCAGCAGGTGGGAGAGTGGGAGGCAGCAGGTGGAAGAGTGTGAGGCAGCAGGTGGGAGAGTGGGAGGCAGCAGGTGGGAGAGTGGGAGGCAGCAGGTGGGAGAGTGGGAGGCAGCAGGTGGGAGAGTAGAGGGTTCACAAGCGCCTGAGGAGAGAGCCCATGAGAGGACACCTGGTGACCGTACACACAGGTAGGTGGAGGATGAGTGGGGGTGGGGGGGGGGGGGGGTTCTCACCACTCAGGAAGGCACCACACAGATCCACCTATATAAGGCTCTAGTTCGGCCGCACCTAGAGTATCCCCAGTACCACTACACACCATAAAGAAAACTAACATGCAGAAACTGCAAGCAGTACAAAATAAGGCGCTAAGGAGAGCAGCAAAACCCCGTCCACCATATGATCAGACAATCCAGGAGCTCCATGAACTCCTGAACATACAGCCACTAAACATCAGACTGCAGCACCAAGCCATCAGGGTATGGAACACCATCGAAATGTTAGAGGACCCAATGTTAGACAGGTTACTCCAAGATGAGACGCCCCGATCCCACAGCTGGTGGCCCAAGATGAGACGCCCCGCTCCCACAGCTGGTGGCCCAAGATGAGACGCCCAGCTCCCACAGCTGGTGGCCCAAGATGAGACGCCCAGCTCCCACAGCTGGTGGCCCAAGATGAGACGCCCCACTCCCACAGCTGGTGGCCCAAGATGAGACGCCCAGCTCCCACAGCTGGTGGCCCAAGATGAGACGCCCCACTCCCACAGCTGGTGGCCCAAGATGGGACGCCCCGCTCCCTCAGCTGGTGACCCAAGAGCCTCGATTCTCTAGACGAAAACCCCGCCCCACAGTACATAATCCCCAGATGAGTTATATATGTGTATATATGAACAGTTCATATATGTGTATGTATGAACAACTCGATAAATAATATGTATGAACAACTCGATAAATAATAATAATAAAACAAAGAGCCTTAAACAGAACAACATGTGTGGAAGCATCGGAGTGTGTATATATGAATGCTACACAGTATTCATCTATAGACATCCATATATGGTGAAACACATGTGAAGAACCTCTCACACACTCACAGCTCCCTGACAAGAGGGAGCCAGCTTAGCTTAGCTGCCAACACCCACACATCGTGTCAGCAAGGCGGACAGCCCGCCTGCTTTCATATCTCTCACTGTATTTCCCACTTCTATACTTCCCTTCACCTATGCCTCTCCTTCCTCTTTATTCCCCCCCCCCCACCCCCACACACATGTTTCGCCCACCTGCAAACACCAATGACAGCAAGGAAAGGGACGGAGCGAATGGATGAGGGAGACAACAGGAGCTCTGTAAAACTTAAAAGCTCTGTACCTCAGGGTACAGTCCTTGCACCGCTGCTGTTCCTTATTCTCATATCAGATATAGACAAAAATACAAGTCACAGCTTCGTATCATCCTTTGCAGATGACACAAAAATCAGTATGAAAATTATCTCTGCTGAAGACACTGAAAAACTTCATAAAGATGTTAATAAGGTTTTCGACTGGGCAGCAGAAAATAACATGATGTTTAACAGTGATAAATTCCAGGTACTCAGGTACGGTAAAAATGAGTACCTTAAACATAATACAGAGTACAAAACACAATCAAATGTACCCATAGTAGGAAAACAGCATGTAAAGGATTTGGGGATAATGATGTCTGACGACCTAACGTTTAAGGAGCATAACCAAGCAAATATTGCGTCAGCCAGAAAAATGATCGGATGGATTACGAGAACTTTCAAATCCAGGGATCCCATCACAATGGATGTACTCTTCAAGTCACTTGTGTTGTCCCGTCTTGAGTACTGCTCAGTACTCACTTCCCCCTTCAGAGCAGGAGAGATTGCTGAAATAGAGGGAATACAGAGAACATATACGGCACACATAGACGCAATAAAGCACCTAAATTATTGGGATCGTGTCAAAGCTCTCCAAATGTACTCACTACAAAAGACACGAAAGAGATATCAAATAATATTCACGTGTTAGATACTGGAGGGACAGGTCCCAAATCTACACAGTAAAATAACAACGTACTGGAGTGAACGATATGGAAGAAAACGCAGAATTTTATTTAATCAACCCGGCGCTGAGTGCATGGGCATGTTGTCAATTTTTCTTTCAAAATCTACATCGTTCGTGTTGATCAAATATATTTACAGGGGTTTGGATATCAGCATAAAGAAGTTGTCTGGACCTTCCACTTTCATGCTGTGTACTGGAGTGCTAAACATGTTCTCATACTGCCTTTTTAGAATTTCACTAATTTCTTCGTTAACATTTCTTTCTGTTGAGTGAGGTGAGGCAAGGAGGAATCCCCGTCAACATGAGACACACTCACAGGTTAGGGAGACAATAACTGGCGGGAGAGGGAGAATCCTGGAAGACCCTTCCAGGTGCAGGAGGCCTGGTCGAGGAGCGGGCCGGGGGGACGCTAAGCCCGGGCATCATGGCAAGGTAATGGCAAGGTAGCAGAGTAGTGGGGGGGGGGGGGGGAGGGAAGGAAGGAAGGAATTATCATGGGAAAGCGCCAAGCCATGACGACTATATAGCACTGGGAAGGGGATCAGGATAAGGATTTGGGACGGGACGGAGGGAAGGAATGGTCCCCCAACCACTTGGACGGTCGGGGATTGAACGCCGACCTGCATGAAGCGAGACCGTCGCTCTACAGTCCAGCCCAAGTGGTTGGGTGGGGGGGGGGGGAAGAGCAGTTGACGGGCAGGGGGTAAAGATGACAATAGTGCAGGAGAGGGGAGGAAGGATGCCGTCAAGGAGGAAGCGAGGCTCTGGAGGAAGGTATTGACCTTGGGGGTCAAAGATGGTGTGTTCAAGTGGTCGAGGTAAGAAGAGTATGAGGGAGGGAGGAGTTATCAGTGCGCGAGGGGTCAAGGAGTTACTGACCTTGGGGTCAAAGTTGAAGGTGTGCTCGACGCGGAGTGGGCACTGGAGGCCACACTTGCAGGTGCCCTCCGTGGCCAGGTAGTCCGCCACCTCGTCCACACTCCGCAGCTCGTTCCCACTCGGACTGGAAATAAAAATACAAGTGTTACTAGAATGGCCATGGTCGCCTCCAGAGACGGGTACACAGTGACAAGTGAGGGAGGGTGGGCGCCTCTCCCCTGGCCTCGCTGCCGCTCACGCCACACGCCCTCTCACCAAACACTGGACCAACATACAGCCAAGGGAGGCGAGAGCCAGGACATGTGCAACAATTACCACCAACCAGTTTACAGCACTACCTTCATAATACTAGACTACTCTCTCCTCTCTCTCTGCACACAGTGACCATCTCCGCCCTCAACATCTTCACCTTTATCACACCCGATTTTGTATAACGCAAGTGCACGTTTGATATTTGAATATACAGTATATATATATATATATATATATATATATATATATATATATATATATATATATATATATATATATATATATATATATATATATATATATATATATTATATATATATATATATATATATATATATATATATATATATATATATATATATATATATATATATATATATATATATATATATATATATATATATATATATATATATATATATATATATATATATATATATATATATATATATATATATATATATATATATATATATATATATATATATATATATATATATATATATATATATATATATTATATATATATATATATATATATATATATATATATTATATATATATATATATATATATATATATATATATATATATATATATATATATATATATATATATAGTGGGTCAGGTGAATACAAATGGATGGAACAATGGGGTCAGGTGTATACAATGGGTATGGGTATTAATTGGGTAAACATAAGGGTAAAGAGTGAGGCAATAAAGGAGAAAAGAGTAGAATAAGGATAAATAGGGTACAGAACACATACAAAGATTAATCAGGTGTAGTGGGCAGTGTTTGTTGAGCAGTGTCTGCCATGTTGACATCTTCACGGTCTGGTCTTGTTCTTACTCTCATGGTGGGTAGAGTGAATAGTTCCGTAATCTGAGTATTTATGGTAGGTTGTTCTGTTTCTATGTAGATTGCTTTAAGAATTTGTCACCTTCTTTCATCTTGGGTTTTGTCTATTATACAAGTGTTTTTGTTCAGCATTTCTCTTGTTAGGGTGATGTCATGGGCTTGTCTCATGTGATTCCTGGGGGCACCGGATTGAAGATGGCATGTCAAACGCCTCGTCAGCTTGGTCGACGTCATACTTTGATTGAAGGTTACATCCTTCGTGGGGGCAAGTGTACATGTATACAACGCTTGACTGCTGTAGAGGGTTCTCCGTCGGCTTCGGCCTGTTTTTGATAATGAGTTCGGTAGTCTTCTTGGTTTCATAGAATATGATCAGGTTTATGTTTTGGTTAGGAGTAGTGCTTTTTACTCCTTTACGGATTATTTCTTTCATTATTATTTCTTCTTTTTTATGTTCACTGTGCATAGTTGATTTGTAATATAATTTTATTGGAGGTATTGTGGTTTCTGTTCTAGGTTCAGTATCTTGTACCATCGGTCCAAGTGTCTTCTTATAGCAGCGTTTATATCCGTGTTGCTATATCCGTTGTTCACCAATACCTGAGTTATTCTTTTCAAACTCTCTACTCACGTTGCTCCATTCGGAGCAGTGGGTAAGCGCTCGACGAATATAAGCATTGAGAACACTGGCTTTGTATCTTTGGGGGCACTCACTTCTGCCGTTCAGGCATAATCCTATGTTGGTGGGTTTGGTATATACGTTGGTGCTTAAAGAGGTTCCTGTTTTTGTTATTAGTACATCCAGGAATGGCAGACTGTTATTTTCACTATTTTCATGTGTGAACCAGAATACTGACTCTCTCTCTCTCTCTAGATGGCTTTTTAAATCATTTAGTTCGTCTGAGTCTTTTAAAACTACGACGACGAATATGTCATCTACATAACGGCAATATACAGATGGTTTTTGTCTGCTACTGAAGACCTTGTCTTCGATGGTTCCCATATAAAAATTAGCGAATAACACACCTAAGGGGAAGCCCATTGCTACTCCGTCTATTTGTAAATACATGTCTCCTTGTGGACTGATGAAAGCGGCTTCCTTTGTACATGCTTCGAGATGACTCTTCAAGTGTGGCTCAGGTATGTCTAATTTGGGGGTGCTCTCGTCTCTGTATACCCTGTCCAGTATCATTCCTATGGTGGTGTCGACTGGGACGTTGGTAAATAGGGATTCGACGTCCAGGGATGCAATAATTCCATCAGACTGTGTAGTTTTGATTAATTTTAGGAAATCTGCTGATGATTGTAGACTATAGCTGCTTGGAGTGTATGGAGTTAATAGTTCGTTAAATCTTTTTCCCAGGTGATAGGTTGGAGTTGGTATTTGGCTGATTATTGGGCGTAGGGGTTACCTGGTTTGTGTCTTAGCCATAGTCGCCTTGAAGTTTAGTGAAATGAACACTACCTTTCTTTGCGTTGATTGCAGTAATAGTTTTGTTCACTTTCCGCTTAAGGTCTTCCACAGGGTTCCTCGTGATTCGTTGAAATTTGGTGTCATCACTAAGGATGTCGCTAATTTTGTTCATGTATTCTTGGGTAGGAATCAATACATATGCTGCTGTCTTGTCGGCTTTTCTTATTCTTACGTCTTTCAGATTTTTTAGTTGTTTTGCTGCTTCTTTGAGTCGTGGGGTTAAGATTGTTGATGAATATGTTCCTCGTTTTTTCCCCGCTTCTGTTAGTAGTTCAGCCTGAAGTAGTGAGGACTTTTTTGTTGTCTTCTAGCTTATTGATGTCGTACAGAAGCATGTCGATTTCAAGGCGTTTTTGATGCTTCTTTGGTTTAGATATGAATTGGCAGTTTAGGCCAAGATTCAGGAGGTCTCGTTTGTCCTGGTTAAGATCATGTGTAGTTAGGTTTATGTAGCCATCTTTTGGACGAGGGATCTTTAACTGTCCACTGTTGAAGGCTGTCAGCCTTTCGGAGTGTCTTCGTCTCTACACCAGTGTTGTGTTGTTGTGATAAGATAACCCCTCCCCTCGTCCTCCCAACCATGTTGTTGTGATAAGATAACCCCTCCCCTCGTCCTCCCAACCATGTTGTTGTGATAAGATAACCCCTCCCCTCGTCCTCCCAACCATGTTGTTGTGATAAGATAACCCCTCCCCTCGTCCTCCCAACCATTCCCCACTCCCCCATCCCCACCATCATCCCATGTTCTCATCACTGAAAAATAAGAACAGTTAAAAAACGAAATGAAAAAAACAATGAATCAAAAAATCAACTATACTCACAAAATGTTGACCAGACCACACACTAGAAGGTGAAGGGACGACGACGTTTCGGTCCGTTCTGGACCATTTTTCAAGTCGATTGTGATATACTCACGAAATGTATGGTATATGGCAAACAACGCAACACATTTCAATTCCAACGCAATGTCACGCAAAATAATTATATAAAAAATAAAAATAAATTGAAATCTATGAAATTTAATTTATCAATGCAATCGGAAACACTGAAATGGAATCGTAACATATTTAGTATAGCGTGTTTGTGTGTTTTGCTTTTACGTGCAATAGATGGCGCTGTTTTTTTCCAAAAAAGCATGTTTTTATCTATCACAGGTGTGGCATGTATATAGTAGGTATATATAAAAACACGCCCGTATTTGAATGAAATGTTCACACAACATTTAACAGCAATCGGTAAAAAGGTTCCGGAGATTTCCCCTCACATGAAAAACAGCTTTTCAAAAAAGCATGTTTTTACCTGTCACAGCCGTGACATCTATATAGTAGGTATATAAAATACGACCGTATTCGGGCGGAACGTTGTGTCAAAATTTCAAAGCAATCGGTGAAGAACTATCGGAGATTACCGGTTTGAACAAAGGAACTTTTTATTTATATATATATATATATATATATATATATATATATATATATATATATATATATATATATATATAATATATATATATTAGTATATTTTGGTAGCAGTCTTTCCTGTAGACATATATTATTAAATATGACCGAAAAAGTAAGATTAATAATTCTAACACGAATTTTCTCAATCTTTCGTACATTTCTTTTCACTGTTGGAGGTAAATCAAAAATCAATTCTCCAAAATTCATTTTTATTTCTAGTCTGACGAGACACGAACGCGTTTCGTAAAACTTATTACATTTTCAAAGACTATAGTTTACAAATACACAACTGAATAGAACTTACGCATCTCCGATTTTATATCTACATTTGAGTGAGGTGGATGGGGTGAGGTGGCATTAATAGGGTATTAATTTCATCAACACAAGACAGAACAAGAGGTGGCATTAATAGGGTATTAATTTCATCAACACAAGACAGAACACGAAACAATGGGTATTGAATAGAAGTGTTTGTAGAAAGCCTATTGGTCCATATTTCTTGATGCTTCTATATTGGAGCGGAGTCTTGAGGTGGGTAGAATATAGTTGTGCATTAATTGGCTGTTGATTGCTGGTGTTGACTTCTTGATGTGTTGTGATGTGATCTTCTTGAGAGGCACTACACATCAAGATGTGTAGTGCCTCTGATGTGTAGTGTAGTGATAGATACAGCGATAGCAGGCGGCTTGACGTTTGCGAGGCACTACACATCAAGAAGTCAACACCAGCAATCAACAGCCAATTAATGCACAACTATATTCTACCCACCTCAAGACTCCGCTCCAATATAGAAGCATCAAGAAATATGGACCAATAGGCTTTCTACAAACACTTCTATTCAATACCCATTGTTTCGTGTTCTGTCTTGTGTTGATGAAATTAATACCCTATTAATGCCACCTCTTGTTCTGTCTTGTGTTGATGAAATTAATACCCTATTAATGCCACCTCACTCAAATGTAGATATAAAATCGGAGATGCGTAAGTTCTATTCAGTTGTGTATTTGTAAACTAAAGTCTTTGAAAATGTAATAAGTTTTACGAAACGCGCTCGTGTCGCGTCAGACTAGAAATAAAAATGA